TTTTACAAATGGAGATCAAACTTTAAGGCCAAGACTTGAGGTCAAAATTGCTGACCCCCCCCCCCCCTCTTAAGTTTGGTCATATGGAAAACACGATGTCAAGTTAAATATGAATGGTTAGAACCAGCCGTTCAAAAGTTATGGGCAAGGTTAAAGATTTTGCAGGCAAATAGATTGACAGACAAAACATGCAGACGGACAGACCAAAGACAATATCCCTTAAATCTTGAATTCCGGAAGCAAAATTCATCAAGGATTATTGATATTTATTCAAAGGTTGGTCCAAAAGTCATCTGACAGTAGCTACATTTTTTTTCTAATAATCACATGACATTGAATAAAACAAAGTAATCCAAATCAAATTCTATTGAATAAATACAAATTTTTAGCAAAGCAAACACAAACATCTAAAATTAATATAGGCTGGATCAAGTGCCTTGGAAGAGTAAGCATCCCCTGTCAACCGTTTACATCCGTGTGGTCCTTGCCATAATCAGTAAAATGGTGAAAGCCTTAGATACTAAATAGAGTGTAAATAATGGCTTACCAATCAGTTTGAAAATCTTTTATAGGCATTCGACTTAATAATAGATTGTATTTGCTGACACTGTCATTGTATAGACCGTCGAACTTGCAAAATGTTGATATTCAATGATACTGTTAACATCCATGTTTTATCAACGTGTTTGTCAATTGCTTTTCTTGATAAAGGTTATCAAATACGTCTCTTTCAAATAGAATATCTTAATAAAACAGATGTGTCAGCCTCTCTTTTATTTTAAATTCTCTGGGATATATCAGTTGGCATATGAATGGAGGTAACTATTGTGAATTGATAATTGATACTAGAATACCGAATTGTCGAGATGAAGACCAAAGCAAGTGCTTTTTCTTCTTTTCGTTCCAAGTTTTTAAATAAATTCTTCCTCATACTAATAACAGCACGCATTGGTACTTTATGAGAATTCCTACAAGAATTGTTGGTAGATTGATCTCCATAGACATTGTCAATAAGAAACTCGAGCATCTTTTTAAAATCAATTTCAGAGTATTTATATGTATAATCAGAATGTTTTTAAAAAAATTTTTTTGTAATTGAACAATCCACAAATCTTTTTTGTCCAAACTTTTCACTTGTAACCAAATATAACAATGCCTAGATTGACTGATTCATTGTATGTCGTCTTACGTCCCATTTAAGAATTTTTCATTCAAATTGAGATGTTACCATAGTGAGTGTGAAGGGCTCAAATTAATATCTTTACTTGGTACTCAGCTAGGGCCATTAAGTATAGTGGAATCTTTTTCTTGAAAAGTTTTTGTTTAAATTCTACGTCTGGAAATTCAAAGTATTTCCAATTTACTCTCTAATGTTGATATTCTTTAAAATTACATTTCAGCGTTTGATATTTCTAACATTCTTCTCAACAAAAGTAAGTTCGATCTATCCTATAGGACCAATACTGGACCCTAAAATTCATGAAAGCTTTACTAACATACGGCCTGGGTCCAGCAAAGTTTTATTAACCCCTATCTTTACTCTTTACAAAAATAACCTTAAAAGGAAATCTACAAATGTTGTAAATCAGATGTGGAATCTCCAAACTTAAAATACTTTAAGAGGAGCAGGTTTTTCAACAAACTTTCTGAATTTCGACGGATACAAATTGAGATCCTTTATTAGCCGACTTGTTTTCATATTCTTATGAAGCGGAATTTTTTCAAATCTTCTTCATAATAAGAAAACATTTGCTGTGGCCTTCAACTCGACATTCAGATATATTGACGACCTGAAAATCAATTTAAAAAAAACAGACTTTACTTCTATTCATATATGCAAATTCAATATACAATGTGAAATAAAAACTAACCAGTCACGTCTCCGTCATTTTTGAATGTTATACTGATTAAAAGTAAGGCCAACAAACGAAAAGACTTCAGCTTTCCCATCTTCAACTTTCCTTATATTAAAATCCATTCCAGTAAATATGCAACAAAGTTGCAGCAACAAGTAAATTATGCAATGCTGAAATTCGCTTGTGTTCCACCACACAGCAGCAGAAAATGAGGGATGGCAAGCAGCTTCAAAATGACAATTTACATAGTAAACTTAATTGCATCAATGAAACATATGGAGATAACAAACAGTATTCAAAATCAAAAATCCGTAAAACAATACAAAATAGGAGCAGAGCAAACACAGACCTCCAAAACATCAGAGGTGGGATCAGGTGATCACAGGGAGTGAGCATCCCCTGCCGACCCGTCAAACCCGCCGTGTGCTCCTTGTCATGATCGGGAAATAACGGGAAAATTCGTCGTCAATTCAGTGTATAAATAATAGACTAACAATGAGTATGAAAAACGTCAGTCAGTACTTGACTCAATGATAAACTTTATTTGCTAATCTACCATATAGAACTTACGAAATGATGACTTTAAAGGAGACTGCTGGTATTCTTGTTTCATCAACTTGTTTGTCAATAATTTACCTCGTGTTAGAAATTGTTCATACGTAGAGCATGCTCTTGCGTATCGAGTCAGCTGAGATATATAAACTCCGTATGTAGGTGATGAAGATACATGTATATTGCTGTAATTAAGGGAAGTTGACGATTGAAAAGTTGAAGTCATCACATTTATCATAGAGCTTGGTTGTTGAATTACCATTTACGTCTTTTTCATGTAAAACATCAAAATATGAAACAGATGTGTCAGACTCTGTAATATCTTTTATCTCAAGTCACCAGGATATATTGTTTCGAATAAGAATGGAAATTACCATTGTTAATTAAAAATATGTCGTCGATATACCTAAATGTCGAGTTGAAGGCCTCGGCAAGTGTTTTCTTCTTTTCACGCATAAGATTTTGGATACAAAAATAGGTCTGCTAATAACGGGGCGCAATTGGTTCCCGTGGGAATTCCATAAGTTAATTGGAAGACCTAGTCTCCAAAAACAACACAGACATTGTCAATCAAAAACTCAAGCACTTTTTATGTCAAATTTAGAGTACTTGTGTGTGCAATAAGAATGTTTTTTAACAAAATAATTTTTCAAATGACCAATGGCAAGGTAAGTAAATTTACGAGTTCCATTTTTATTGAAAAGCAGCTGTCAATGATATCAAAGAGCCCGGACTCGTGCGCCCTCTCCCTACCCCTTATTGTTTTGTTGAGAATTCAAACTTCCCGAAGAGGAATCAAAGGATGAAAACTCAAGGACAAAAACAGCAGTAGCTATGTACACAAGCATTTGCCGGTCTAGGAATTTTTTTTTTTGGTTGAAAAAATTCTGATTCTAAAACATTTTGACATGCAAAAAACTTCATGCAGAGACTAGGACCTCAAGTCTATATCATTCAGATACACGAGTTTCAAGACAATTTACACGAGTCTTCCTATCTTGGAGAGTCCAGGATAATTTTTCTTTACTTAACATAAATTTTTTATATCTGAAAATCCGCCAACCCTTTCTAATTCCACAAGTGCACAATTTCGAATGTTTTAACTCTTACTCTGAACGGTGTCTGAATGAAAAGATCCTATCGATTCTAAAATCAGAATATAAACTAAATCGTGGGTTTCTTCTAAGATTATCTTTCGATCTTTTAGTTTTGTTCTCGATACGGATACAGGAAGTCTGTATTGATTCCGTGTTTAAAAGATTTAAAGGTAAATTCATTACCCCGGTATGTAAGAAACAAGGATGCCTTTGCTTTTGAAGTGTTACTTTATTTATTAGTTAAAATATATATATGTAATGAAATGCATGTTTCTATATATACAAAACGTGGCATATGTGTCAGTCCGTAAACTATACCGGGGGGGGGGGGAAACAAGGATTAGCCGTTAAAATATATGTAATGAAATGTTTCTATATATACAAAACGTTTTTGCAAAGATAGACATCATTTAGGCATCAAACTTTGGGGCGCAGGTTTAGCCCCCCCCCCCTCCCACTTTCAACAGGCAGGTTGCAGTGTAGTCGAAGAAGGGTAAGTGGTAGTGTTTGAAAGAAAAATTTGGTGCTGAAAGAAGTTCAATCCCCCCCCCACCCCGTGTTAGGAAAATAAGAATAGTCACATTTTTTTGGTTGTCAAGTTTTTTTTCAGGTTTTCTCTTTCACTCACCCCCCCCCCCCCCTCCTCAATTTGATTCCGACGCCAATGCGTGGACATAGTAGGTGGGGTTAAAGATGGACAACCCTAACTCGAATCTCTAATTCTAACCCTAAAAAAATAGTTAAGAAATTTTATATTTTATTTATAATAATAATGATTAATTAAAAATAATGTTAGATTTATAAAATATTACTATCTTATAATGGTTTGGAGTTTAGATTAGTATGATAAATTGCAGATTATTTCTTTTAAGGACCTTTCAGCTGGGACAATACACCCGCGTTTCTCAGATCTAAAACAATTTGCACCTCGTTTAAAACCCGTTTCAATCGAAAGGCAAACCATTCCAGTATTTCCAGCAGGTATTTGATTGAGGAAACATTTACTTAAAACATCCCTGTCCGGAGATTGCACGCCATGAACTTCGATAAGGAATACATGTAGTTTATTTAGTTCTCATTTCTTGTGGGCCCAATGCTTTGACCTCTGACCTTCTCACGTAGACTTTCTTTTTTTCAATTCTTTAATTTTAAATTTAAAAAGGGAAGTACAGTCTGATGCGATCCCTGTCGCGTGTGAATGTTCCTGGGAACATGACATTGGTCGTAAAACACACACGCTCGCAGTGTCACCACGGGAATATAACATGTGTGACGGAATTTTATTTACACAACTTCATTATGTCCAACAGTCATTGAAAAGCTATTTCTGCTGAGTTTGAAATAGATGAAATATTTTTTTTGTTAATGACTAATATCACGCAGACAAGCACCGATATGACAAGTGTATTTTCAAGCAGCTAGTTTACCATTCAGTTAAAGCAATATCAATGTAGAATTCCAATTTCATTTCGAAATAGCAGTAAAAAAAAATATCTGACCAGAGCTATTTCTCACTCATTTTATTATGCTTCAGATTTTCACAGGTATAAACATGGAAGAAATACTTTTATGCAAATATTACAGAGGGACGGATTAATAACAAAATTCAATTCAAAAAGAAATTAACATAATATAATACATAAATATACATGCATTAGAAATACATTTTTCAGTGCATGTCTGTGACAGTTTTGTTCATCAGAATTAGATACAGCTGACCTGTGTATGGGACAATGACACAGTGTCCTACACCACATACATTTATTCCTGTTAACTTTATTCAGTATGACACTACCTTGCTTGATAATGCACAGTCTCCTCTTTTTCTTCAGTCTATACAGAGTGCTTTGGCACACATACAACAACAAAAAATTATGCAGTTGTTCAAATCAGGTGTTTCAAAGTAGTAGAACTACTCTAACTCATTATTATAGTGAATAAAAATGTGCCTTACAGAATTTTACAGAAAAAAAATTAAATGACTCATCATGAAATGGGATAGATATCCTATTTGGCAACAAGCAATTTGCAACAAATGCTGAACACAGTTTTTTGTTCTCCCTATTTCAATGCTGCGAGGACCAGACTGTTCTCCACTCCTCCCACGGCTAGTAACCGACCCCCCATCACAGTGTCCAGGGCTTGTACAGGGTGATGCAACTGGATTGTACCAATAACCTAATCAAAAAAGGGAGACAACTCAATATTAAATAAATAAAAATTGTGAAAATTAGATAAGTCAAATTCGAAAGTAAAAATGTTTAAAGTAAATACTCTTTAATCCAAAAGAAAGATAAATAAAACTTAACAAAAAGGTAATTATAACTTAATTTTCACTATAAATTAAAGGAGGCAATGGGTTGTTTATTTCGTACCTCCCCCGTTTCAGTGTTGATGGCCTGTACACTGTTGGTACCACTTCCTCCGGCCACCACCACGTCGTTATCACAGAACTGGGCACAGTAGAGGTAGGCTCCGTCATGTCCCTTGTAGTTAAATGGCACGTCCTTCTCCAGTTTACCCTCCGTATAATTCCAGACCTGTAGGGCATGTGTTGCTACCCACGATCCAGTTAAAATTTTCATTCCCTAAATAAAAAAAACATATTTGATATCAATCTGAAAATCATAGAAAACAGGGTTAAATTCTTACCCTCTGGGAGCCATGACTTGGATAATAGTATTTCAAAGTTAAAGGAAAAGCAATATGCAATGGGGGTGGGGGGGGGTATTTAAATTCAATTTGTCCTGACTAAAGCCCCCTCCCCCAGACTCTCTGGGATGAGGTTGTGCCACAAAAGGGATTCATGATAAAATTGCAGAGAGAGTGATGTATAAAGCATTGTTGCCCCCTTGTCTTTTGACTGAATTATTTATCTGTAGTGTTGTTGTCTTTTGACTGACTTACTTATCTGTAGTTTTTGTTTTTTGACTGAGTTATTTATCTGTAGTCGTACCTTTAGGTCCAGACTGTCCCCACAGATATGGGGTCCGTGAATCGTCCTTTTTACGCCATCATTAGAACGAGCATCCCAGATCTGTCAAGTAAATCAATGCAGCCTTGGAGTAATACTCAGTTATAATGATTAATAAACAGATGCTGAAACTAACAAGAAGATTATATTACAACAGTTTGTTTTTGCTATTATTTTACTTTTGAGCTAGAATTAAGCTAGAATTAAGTTCATTTTTTGCTACTGCACTTTAAAATATATAACTGCATAAGCGATAACCATAAGCTTTACTGTATTGGGTAGAAGTGTTTAATTATTACTAATTTCAAGATGAATTTCAGCAGCAGGTAAAAATAAGCACAATTTGTAACCATTAACCACCCTCCATTTACAGTCCATAAACATAAAAGCCAACTGATTTCAACTTGAAAGAAAAGCCTGATTGCATTTTATGTCTTTCCTCCCACAGAAGATTTTATAATTGCTGTAAATCTATACCTGCCTGCTTCTCACCAAGAGGTTTTCAGTGCCACTTTTATTTTATATTTTATTTGACATTTCATTGCATGGTAGTAAAGACAATGAAAACGATACCCGACAAAAGTAATTATCAGAAATACAACACTTAACAGTGCAACTACAAAATTGTTGCGTCTGCATTTAACAACAAATCAATAGGTTCATTCTGGATTATGATTTCAGCAGGTATATTTCAGTGATAATTTTATAGTCCTCCATTAACTGCACTCAGACATGCAGTAATGAGTGCTGCCTACCTTAAGGTGGTTTTCCCATCCACCTGTGATAAAAATGTCGTCATACTCTGGGTGGTACTTAAGGGCATATACTCGCATTGCACATCCTGCTGTCTGTATTTCTGTTGGATTCTTTTTTTCATTATATCCTTCATATGAATGAACCACCTTAAAAAATCAAAATATTAAGCCATCTATAAATCAAAATAATTTCAGCAATAAAACTACAGGTACCTTAAAATATAAAAAAAAAAAAACAGTCTGCACATACAATGGAATTATTTGATAAGTGAGCAATTAAGCTTTTTAGAAAGTAAAGATATAACATTATTATATATAACAAATGAATTGACTATTATGGATTGAAATATCTCAGAGAAAGCAGTGACTATAGAATCTGCTAAATCTTTCAGTAGTTTTATCCCAGATAAATATATCAGTACTGCACAGTTACAATAAAAGTTGAACTTCCTTTATTATTTGCTCCATTTCACACAAATGCCACATACCTGTCCTGTTTTGGAGTCATAAATTCTTATTTTCAAGTCTCTCCCTCCAGTAGCAAATCGTAAGCCATCATAATCAAAATCTAGACAGTTAATTTCATTACCAATCTCTGTAAGATGAATCCGTTTGTAAGTTACAAATGACATCATTTAAACAGTTCAAAAAATGTAATCTCTAATTATCTACCAATTTTTGACTTTTACAGCAAAAGATATTCCCCAGATATTTAAGCATCTTGGCTAGCCAAGATGACATTTAATGAGGTAAATCTGACATTAAAGTTTGATCTTTTAAAATTATTTTCGCAAGATATTGACTCTTTATGCAGCGAGACATAATTTTCACAAATTGTTGTTTTTCCTGTACATAATTGTAAAGAATACTTTTATACACGAGTATGACATTTTCGCAAGCTCATTTTCTCATGTAATTACGCAAAAATAAAGTTCTCACTCATAAAAAGTGATTTACAGTTCATCACAGCATATCTCAGTTTTTTATGCCAAAATCTTAATGTCATTGGACAACTTATTTTCTTCATTTATATTCTAAGAAATTCTTTAAATCGCCTCAATCAACCACAGAAATGAAAGTGCATTCATTTTTTGATGATCCATGATCTGACACCATTTTACAAGAATTTTTTTTTCTTCACTTCAAGAAGTTTGAAAAAATGTTGAAAAGAATTTCTGAGTCAAGTTAATTGACATTTTTGGTTTAATTTCCTTGAGAATTTTTTGGCATAAAAACTGATGGCAGTTCTGTATTGTGGAAATAGACAATTAAAGAAACCATTTCCCCTATGATATTGATTTCTTGAAGAGTAAAATCCAAATTATGTTGATTTTGAAAGAGTCTTGAAAACATTGTATTTTTGCAAATTCATCTATTTCAATGTACTTTGATATGAACATTTTTAAATATCATAAGAGTTTTACCCTCTATATTTTCATAAATGTAACCTGATTTGGAAAATTATGTAGGAAGAAGTGGGCATGTGCCACCTCATCACACCCCCTTTAAATATACTTTATTTTATGAAGGTCTGTATAGGTTAAATTCTGTGTACCTTTAGCAAACTCTGTAACTTCCCCAGTGTTGGTGTTACAGGAGAAGATATTCCCGTCTGAGGTCGTGGCCAGTAAGATGTGATGCGCCTTTGGGTGGAACCTCATACACATGATGGCCATCCCCCCATAGCGAGACTTCCTCAGCTCCGACACTAGCTCCCCTGTGGCAGAGCTGTACAGCTACAACAAATCACAGATAGAATCAATCATAAATACTACAACTCAATGGCAAGAACCTTATTCAAAATACAAACTTGTGAAAAAAAGTTTGCTGAGAAGTATTTTCAAAATCAATGGTCCTCAAATAATCATATGATGAAAGATCAAATTCAGACAAGAGGTTTAGATGTATTCTTGAGTTTTCAAAGTGGATTTAACACAGAAATTACCCAGTAATGATAACCTTTGCAGATTATCCTGAAGGACACATACAGAGTTTACATGATAAAGACTGCAATGCATACTAAATTTGAATCTTTGTTATATATAAATCCCTGCATGGGAATTATTTCCTTGATACAATGATAATGTATTGATAATGCAGAATAAAATATTAATACTGAAAGGCCTTCGAACACTATGGATAAAACTGTGTAACAGGAATGGAGAAAATATAAGGTGCTGGTCAGACTAGGAATCGAACCCAGGTCCACTGCATCACTAGTCAGGTGTTTTAATCAGTAAACTACCCTGGCTGATATCTACAGCCCAAACTTTAAATTACATATGATGCAAAGAATAAATTGCTGCATAAGTACAACATAAATTTCATGTTTATAGGAGGGGAGGAAGGGGGGAGGGGGCTTTACATTTAAATAATTAGTGATAAGAGGAAGGTTCAGTACCTATGTCTAAGATTTCAAAATCACTGTAAACCTAAGGTACACATGTGAACATCATTATCAGTCTAAATGCTTCAGTCTTACAGAAATATCATAAGGAGCACAGTTTTCAGTTTGTACCTTTTTAAAACTTTGTGTTTTCTTAATATTTGCTTTTGATATGGCAACACTTTTATCTAGCATTTGCATGATTTTGCAATATTTGGATATTGATTTTTTTTTCCCCTTTAAGGTCAGACGAGACGTTCCTCAAAATCTGTTTTGTATATCTTCGTAATGTATGAAAAATATTCAAAATTTTAATAACATTCTGATTTCTAAACCAGTTTCTAAACGTTTTTAAAAGATCCAAACACTTAAACATTTGAAATTGGAAAATTATTTTTCTTCCCCAAAGGATTATATAAGAAAAACTACCCCTGGTATCTTGCAGAAATGTCTGGTAAGGTACCTCAATTGTTTGTGATTCGGAGATCAGTTTCGAAGAAATATGCACAGCAATTAAAAAGTTAAAAACAAATAAAAGTTGTGGAGAAGATTGTATTGTTAACGAACTGTTTATGAAATGTGGCAATGAATTGCTCCCGCTGTTACATAAACTCTTTAATAATATTTTTAACTCCGGTTTTTACTCTGAATCATGGTCTAAATGGTTTATAACTCCATTGTTTAAAAAAGGGGATAAGAATGATGTCAACAATTATCGTGGTATATCTATTGTAAGCTGTTTTGGTAAATTATTTACAAGTGTGCTCAACAATAGGATATTGGAATGGGAACACTCCTATGATATATTGACTGATGCACAATTTGGGTTCCGTAAAGGAATGTAAACAACTGATGCTATTTTTGTTCTGTAATCCCTTATAAATAAGTAACTTTCTACTAAGAAAAGATTATATTGTTGTTTTGTTGACTTTCAAAAAACATTTGATTCTGTTGATAGGATAAAATTATGGCAAAAATTATTTCATTTAGGCATTCAAGGTAAAATGTTAAAGATAATTAAATCTCTATACAGTAATGTTAAAAGTTGTGTTAAATACAACGGTTATCTCAGTGATTACTTTCAAAATGACATTGGTCTAATGCAAGGGGAAACATTATCACCAATATTATTTTCACTATATGTAAATGATTTCGAGGTTGGTTTTATATCAGATAACTGTCCATATATTGATTTGCAGATGTTAAATTTATTCATACTTATGTATGCAGACAACATGGTTATTTTTTCTGAATCTCCAGAGGGCTTACAAAAAAATGTTAAAAACACTGTACAGTTATACTGAAGAATGGAGCCTTTCTGTTAATGTAACAAAAACAAAGATTGTTGTCTTTAGAAATGGTGGTAAATTACGTAATAATGAATCCTGGTTCTATAATAATGCTGAATTAGAAATTATGAATGAATTTAAATATCTAGGTATGTTATTTAACTTTAATGGAAAATTTTTAAAAACACAGAAACATGCTACTGAACAAGGAAGAAAAGCTATGCTTACTATTTCAAGTAAATTAAAGAGGTATGAATTTAATGTAGAAACTCTATGCTCAATTTTTGATACTTATGTATGCAGCGTATTACTTTATGGAACTGAGATATGGGGTTTTCATAGATGTTCTGACGTAGAAAAAGTACATTTAAATTTTTGTAAGAATATTCTTGGTATGGGAAAGAAAACCTCAAACAGTTTGATTTATTCAGAGCTCGGGCGTTTTCCACTAGCAGTTACAATGAAATTAAGAATATTTAAATATTGGATCAAATTGAGAACAACTGAAAATTGCATTCTTAAGTCCTGTTATGAAAGTATGGTATTACAAAATGACAAATGGATTTTACAAATTAAAAAAGAATTGTCCCTTTTAGGCCCAGGCCAACTTTGGACGTAAAATAATCTAAATGATAGAGCTTACAACATTATAAAACAATGACTTTTAGATGTCTCAAAGCAAACTATATTAGAAAATATACCAAATTCTTCAAAAGGTAATTTATATCAACATTTAATTGACAATTTCTGTTTGCAGTGGTATTTAACAAAACCTATTGACAAAAAATTTGGACAGTTATTAACAAAATTTAGGTTATCTAACCACACGTTGAATATTGAAACAGGTCGACACCATAACATCCCTAAGAATAATAGATTATGTACATGTTGTAATCTCCATGATATAGAAGATGAATTTCATTTTATTTTGAAATGCCCATTGTATATTGAGCTAAGAAAAATTTTTTTGAAGAAGTATTATTATACTAAGCCAAGTGTCTTTAAATTAATTCAGCTGTTCAGTTCCAATAATATTAAAGATCTCTTAAATTTGGGCAAATTTTTGAATGCTGCAACAATATTAAGAAAAAATAAAATTGAGGTATAGGATAATTTTCATGTATGTGGTTTTTTTTTACGTTCACTCTCTCTGTATGTTTTTTCTTATTATTATCATGTTTGTATTATCTGATGAGCCAGTTGGCTTAAAGAAATAAAGAAACTGAAACTGAGTAAACATGTTTAATTAGCAATACTTCAATGACAAACTCTGAGAAAAAATTATCTATTATTAAGGAACGTCTCGTCTGTCCTTAATTAAACAAAAATCAAGCTGAAATCCAGTAAATGCAGTCAGTACAATTTAATTGGCAGATGAGAAAGGAGAGATAACTGACACTGACTATTTGGGCTTCCATCTACTAGTACTTAATTGTTCAAAGTCAAATTTATACTCTCTATTGTCTGAAAATTTTTAATTTTATCATTATATTACATTGCTTGTTATGATTTTATGATTCGCTGTTCTCTTTCATACATTGTAGATCATTGTAATGCAAACTGGTATATTAATTTAATACTCATTCTGAGGTTTCATACTTGCATATATAAAAGAGGAAAAAATAAATGTACAACAAGAAAGCAGTACTGATCAATGGCAGTTGACAAAATTAATACATGCATGTCTGAATCAATAATATTAAATAATTTTATAATTATCTGCGTCCCTACCCTGATGGCCCCGTTTCCGTGACCCACGGCCAGCTGTTCCCCATTGTATGAGTACTGGAGGGAGTAGATATGGTCCAGCGCCGGGTCATAAGGAATCTCCTTAATTATCTCCAACTTAGTAAACTTCTCAGGCCAATTCTTACCTGCCAAAAAAAAAAAATCCTTCTCTGTACTACAGATTTAGGAGAAGCTGAAAATGAGCATTATATATAACTATAGCCATAAATTTTTTTATAGTCATATCCATGTAGTAATGAAATATTTGTGTTAAAACATTTTTTATTTATATTATATACAAAGCTGGTGTTCTTCTTAGTGGTACTTTCATTTACAGATTTAAGGACTGAAAAATTGTATCTGAATTGAAAGATTATTTATCTATGGTCACACAAACTATAACAACTGTAAAGGGAAAGGAGAAAAATGGGATGGACCAGACCAGGATTTATCATTAACCATAAGATATGATTCAATACCTTTTTTAATAAGAGAATTCAGAAAACTATACAATAAGTACTAAAAATTCTACACCCCCCAAGCTCCAATGAAAAAAAAATGATGTAGGAAGAAATCACCATATCACACAGCTATAATCAAAGGCAAAGAAAATGAGCTTACAGCTAATTGTTTAATAAAAATAATGATTTTAAACCAGAGTCAATCTCTAGCATAAAATATTAAAATCGACCATTGAAAAAGATTTAATCCATATAGTTCATATACTACACCTTTTCAAGAAAATCAATAATAATTGATTTCATGTTCAAACATCGCAGGCTGAGATTACATCTAGAGAATGAGACTGGAGAATGTAAAACGAATTCTATAGGGCTATTGGTTGACTGATTGACAATAAAATAACCACAGACAGGCTGATGTTGGATATCTGCTGCTAGTTATTAGCCCTGTCAACTGAACACCAGCACATTAAACAGAGAATGACTGGACCATAAATCTGACAAGGAAAGAGGGAAATGAAGAGTCACTGAACAGATTTAACAATCCATCTGTCAATCATAAAGACACGTGCAGAGCCACTTCTGAAGTTATTAGTGCTTAAACGATGTTAAAGAACTTAATCCCTGTAAAATGTCAATTTAATTCACTGAAATGAATATATCTTCCATGTAATCATGATACATGTAATAATTATATAAGAATTGAATGATCCTTGAGTTTTTAGTACTTTACAAGTAGACACAAATTGCATGAAAGGAAGAAGTTGTAAAGGACAGGCCAGGATTTGAACCTAGGTCTCCTGAACATTAGTCAGGTGATCTACCAACAGATCTCTCACTGGCACCAACAAAGACCCAGTCTGGCCTTCAAAATCCTCCCTCCTTTACTGTTTGTTTTTCATCCAAGGACACCAATCCAGCCTCTTCCATGCCAGGTCTTTTACCTGTCACTTCCACGGACGACATAGCTCCAAATGCAACATATAGGGGAAAAATCTGATGGACAAGACCATTTTTAACCCTGAACAACAGACAGAATAATATTAATGCTCCATCAAATGAACTCTATAGAGATGCTCTACAAACTGAACCTTAGAAAGATACTCTACCAACTGTTCTCAAGACAGGTTTTCTACTAACTAAAATCTAGAGTCTAGACAGGTGCTCTACCAAGTTCTCTATATAGGTGCTTTAACTCTAGACAGGTGCTCCACTAAATTAACTCTAGACAGGTGCTCCACCAATTGAACGCTAGTCAGGTGCTCTACTAACTGTTCTCTAGACAGGTGCTCTACTAACTGAATACTAGACAAATGCTCAACCTAAAGAACTATAGAGAGGTGACCTACTAACTAAATTATTGGGCCACTGGCCATTGAACAAGCCTGATTATCATATTACCCCTCCTTAAATGTCTTTGATTCCCAAGGAAACCAACCCAGGTTCTCCCATTGTAATTTCTTATTTCTTCCAATCCCTTCCAGAACAGTGATAATGTGAGTGCCCAGGCCAGTATTCAAACCTCGGCCCCCTGAATTGAATTTATGTGTTTTTGATAGGTTTGTTACCAAAAGCTGAAGTTGCTTATGAATCGTGTGGACATTTCTTGCACATTTATAAAAGATGGCTTACAGAATACCTATATCTCTACACAATGCAGCAAGTACCTGTGTCTACAGGTGAAGAATACACCTGTCTGTAAAGTGAAGTAAATACCTGTATCTCTACCTGTCTGAAGCTCTTACCTTGCTCAATTACTTGTCCAGCCTGCAGAGCTTCTTGACGGCGTCGGGCCATTCTTCTTCAATAAACTTTTTTATTTAACAAAAGACGAAGCAGTCACAGAGTTTTCTCTACACGTATAATGTCTCTCAGCCAAAATACAGCCACATTCAGATTGTCACTTATACACAGTACATGTCCAAACCAGACATCAATAGAACAGTTTTATGGAGTTCCACCTGTTAAAATATTTTAATGACTTTCAATATGGCAAACAGCTTTTAAAATTAAGAGCTTGACATCATTTCTAAAAAGAAACTAAAGTTGTTCATTATAGATTACTGTCATTAAGTTTTATGAAGAAAATGCAATAAAATTAATGTCCCTGCTTTGAATTTTCTGATCACCAGGTTCGAGGACATTTAAATTCCACATTCTTGGAGAAGAGTTAGCTGTATTAATCAAGTCTGACACACAATGCAGTGTAGAATATTGAACTCACTGTGTAAAATGCATATATAATGAGGATTCGTGAAGCTTTATTTAATGGCAGAATAGTTTAAAGTCTCTTTTGTATACCCTAGTACAGACAATGTTGTTTTGTGGACTGTTTACAATTTGCTTTAATAAAATGTTTTAAGATATTAACGTATCAAAAATACAATGTTTTTATGCATCTAAATAATTATACATGTAAGATAAGCTTTATCAATCTAGAACTAATTTTACCATTTAAAACTTCAAACTGGATTTTAAGATTTAACTTATTTTTCTATTTATTATCATTATATTCTGTACTACTGGTACTTTAATAGAATGGTGATGCTACATGAGGTGACTTGCATTGGACATAAATACAGGATAGAAAATTAATAAACAATTTTCTTTCATAGCAAATTAAATGAAAAAATGCTCCTTACCTTTTAGTATGCAAACTTCACAAAAAAGAGATAAACAATGCTATTCAATAAAGGTTACGTGAGGTTTTTAAATTTGACTTTAAAAATATTTACTGAGAGAGCTTGGTGGTCATTGAATTCAAAGTGGGAACACTCTGAATACAAAGCCTATGGTATTAGACTGAACAGTTTACAGCATAACCTTTAAATTAATAAGATCAATGATTGATCACAATACAATCTAAATAGCTGGCTCATTCTAGTTCTGGGTAAAAGCCTAATCAAATTGTTTACAGTGCCAGGGTCCTCATTCAATCAAGAGGTCAATTTAGATATTTGTGTTCTTTGCAGATTTTAAGGATAAATAAATAGAGATTTTTTTTCCCTAGATTACACATACAGTCAAATCTTGTTATCTCACACCCAGTGCAAGAAACAGACAGAATTCAAAATTATATTTGAAAACTGAAATAGGAGGGTTTATAAGTTATCAATAACATAAATAAAAAGTGTTTGGGACTTAAAATTCATTTCAAAATATTCATGGTTATTCAGATATTGATGTTTAAAATACTGAAGTTCAACTGTATTTGAAATCATGGAATCCAGTTGTATGATGCCATAATGACTTGACTGGGTAGTACCAAATCCTTCCACACCTATGATACATTTATAATCATACATAAATGATATACTCAAGATTAACCCTGTAACTTTCCTTGAGCTGTTTTAAGTTAGATAAGACACACTTTCAATTGACCATTATCAGTAAGCTTTATATCTCCTTTTAAGCATTGTGACAAATAGTGGAGTTATTTAAGGTGAATCAATATACAACAGACTTTACACTTGTAGTCTAGTAAATTTTTTAATACCTGCACATGTAGTTCAATTCTTCCAAAGGAGGAATAACCAAGTCAATAAATCTAATATAATAAATGTGAAAATAATAAAATAATACATTCAAATGAAATCACATATTCATTTACACAATACGCAAAGTGATCAGTATTTCAGACTGTAAGTGCATGGACTAATAATTATTATTTATTTTTGGGGTTAAAAAATATATTGTCTTCTGGCAATTTCTTCAGGCAAACTTGAATCTACATTATCTCAGGATACTCCCATATCAATATTACTGATCATGGATTTGCTGAAAATTTTTATTTTTAATGACTTTTTTTCACATATGTACATGTATTCCTATGTAAAACTCTGATTGCTCATTGTGGCCCAAGTACATGTATGAAACTAATATAGACAAGAGGCCCATGGGCCACATCACTCACCTGAGCACATGGGCTAGTTAAAAAACACAAATCAAGTCAGTATTGAAAAGTTTACTTGTTGGGGGAGGGGGGATTTGAATTTTTATTACTTGAGAATGTCACCATTTCAATAAAGCATACATACATAATTTTCCATACTTGAGAAGGAGAGTTTTAAAGATTTTTCCTATATAATTCCATCTAAAGATTTGATTGCCCATTATGGCCCCACCTTATCCCAGGGGTCATTATATGAACAAACTTGAATTAACTCAAACTGAGGATGTTTCCCTATTAATATCACCAATTATAGCTTTGCTGATCTTGAGAAGAAGATTTTTAAAAGATTTTTCCTATATATTCCTATGTTAAACTTTGATCAGGCATTATTGCCCCACCCTTTCCTCAGGGGTCATGATTTGAACAAACTTGAATCTACACTACCTAAGGATGCTTCCACATGAGTTTTCTCTTTGCTGGCCCAATGGTTTGGAGAAAAAGATTAAAGATTTTTCCTATATACTCCTACGTAAATATTCATCAGCCATTATGGCCCCGCCATACCCCCGGGGGTATATCCTATATATTCCTATGTAAAACTTTTATCAGCCATTGTTGGCCCGCCTTACCCCCGGGGGACATGATTTTAACAAACTTGAATCTATATTACCTGTGAATGCTTCTACATGAGTTTCACCCATCATGGTCCAATGATTCTGGAGAAGAAGATTTAAAAAAATCTTATAATATTTATTATAGTCCTTAGTCAAACTTTGATCAGCCATTGTGGCCCCGCCCTTACCCCGGGGCATGATTTGCATAAACTTGAATCTACACTACCTGAGGATGCTTCCACATGAGTTTCATCTTTCCTGGTCCAATGGTTCTGGAGAAGAAGATTTTTTTCCTAAAAAAAATTTCCTTTATATTACTATGTAAAACTTTTATCAGCCATTATGGCCCCGCCCTACCCCCGGGGAATATGATTTGAACAAACTTGAGTCTTCACTACCTGAGGAAGCTCCCACATGCGTTTCATCTTTCCTGGCCCAGTGGTTCTGGAGAAGAAGATTTTTAAAGATTTTTCCTATTTATTCCTATATAATCATTTGATCAGCCATTGTGGCCCCGCCCTACCCCAGGGGGTCATGATTTGAACAAACTTAGATCTTAAGGATGCTTCCACATGAGTTTCATCTTTTCTATCCCAATGGTTCTGGATTAGATTTTTAAAAAATGCCATTAATTTTTCATTAACTCATAATTATCTCCTCTTGGAAGAGGGCTTGGCCCTTTATTTGAACAGCGGGCATATGTGGAAATTCTCAACATTGAATCCCCGTTACCCAAGGATTTCTTCTGTTGTACTTTGTGGTGAGTTTGGTTGACGTTACATTGATACGACCTGTCAGTGTCAATCGTAATCATTAAAGTGTTTGATTTAACCGAAGAAATTACAATATGATTGAAAATGTGAAAAGTTTACGTTCACAACGACAACGACAACAACAACGACAACAGACAAATTTTGATCAGAAAAGCTTGTCCTTATAGTTATTATAAAAACCTTATTTTTTGTTGCACAATCATATCTCTGCTATATGAATGAATTTTGAGTAGGGCATCAAATTTCAATGGGCTGAGCTAAAAATGTAAAAATTCATTCTGAACTTTAGTATTTTAAAACTTTAAGAATGATTGATATGCCTTATCTTACCAACAAACAATATCTATCCTAGCTGTTGGACTGAACCTTGCAGTCTTTCTCTTAGCTGCAGAACTGTAGTGTTATGGTTTTATATATTAGTCCAATCTACAGATCCCATATTTTATGTGGATTTTACCACCTGTTTTGGTAACCCTTTAAAGTTGTCTTTGCAGGCAATAAACTTGCTTGATTTGTATTTTCTGATGGATTTCAGAATAATATTCAAATCAGCTAGTTAATCCCCTGTACAGAGGACTATGAAGGGTTGGAAGGTGGATAAAATGTACAGGTTGGTTAATAAATAATATGTCTAGAATTAGGGAGTGAAAGGGAGTTGGTTGGCCAATGCTAGAAATTAGTTGAGAAATTCTCCCCAACAATGCACAAAAAATCTTGTGCCATAATATATAAAACCATATCGCACATTTTTTGCATTATAGGATCTAATTAAAATTTCAAACTTATCATATTGTTTGGTTCAGCATTATGGTCAAAGAACAAATTTCAATATAAGACTAATATATAAAACCATATTGCTACAGCTTTGAGGTAGCAGATTAACAAAGAGAAAATGCACTTCCATATAGTTGTGCACCTCACTCCAAAGGAACAACTTTTTCAAATTTTATCATAAAATGGTTGATTAATACCCATTTTCAAAGCATTAATTTATTTCAGACTATGTTACCCCCCCCCCCACCCCTCTGAAATATTTGCTAGACAATCATCAATATATATACTTGAAATAAAACCCAGAAGCAAAGGAAAATATTTTCAAAGAATTGATTTTTATATATAATCCCTAATTAAAATTTCAAAAAAAAATAGCTGTCACTTTTATTTCTATGAATTATTTGAGAAATGGAACAGTGTTTTAGAAAGCCTTTTGTTAAGCAGATTCTTGAAACTATTACATGTAGACTAGTACAGAGTATTGTTAAAGAGTAATCGATTACCATATCAATCAAAATTTACTTTGTTGAACTTGTCATACTAACAATGAATTGTTTTAATGTGCAAAAATTAAAGAAGATAAAAAAAAAAAAGAAAAACTGGTTTTCTTTTCCAACATTACATAATCACACTTGTTTATATTCAAAGGCTCTGAATATGTCATTGGGGCACTCCTGAAATAAATTTATCCAGATATTATAATTTAAGAAACAAATGATCATACCTTGTGCACTCATTCAGGATCATGCTTGATTACAATTCTAAGAAGCACTCATAGTGTGTATTTCAGGCCCTCATGAAAGGGCTCTCATAAATTAATTTTGACAAATATTTACTTGGATCATATTAAAAAAAATTGGGGGGTTTGTGCATGCATCATATGGGGTGCAGTGACTAGCACACGGTCATTAAACAAACTGCAAAACTGGAGTTATGATATAAACACAGACACTTGAAACTGAATACAGAACATGGATTGAACCATCTTTGGAAAGACTTCAAAAATGGCAGTGATACATAATTTTCTTCAAATTCAAAGTTAGAAAAGATCAATTTTATTATGTTACATTTATATATCCAGATATTGAGCATATTTGGGAAAATGTCACATATGCTAATAAAGACATAAAAAACTTCTTCTTCTTTCTAAAACTAGTAGAGGAAATTCGGGCTAAGTAAATCCCCGCGCATAATTTAAAAGTGTGTAGTTTTTTATATGTTGACCTTGTTTAGACACAAAGGTTTTTATGGTTTGTTTATCACATACCTTTCTGTTTTTGGACGAAAATGAAATGACTCAAAAAGTCAGATATAGGCTACCATTCAACTTGGTTGCTGCAGACGCTTTCTTGGTTCACTGAATATGCGCACAGAGACCGGAAACACTTTTCGAGTTACCTCTAATTCATATTAAAATTCAGAGAGGTCAAACATGGCGACGATTATTTTTTTTCAATGGAACCTCACATGTCTTGCGAAAAGTGTTGATTTTACTTAAATATGTAGTGAACATTGAATTGATTATTTGATACTCATCTGGTAAACAATTAAACTGATATGTTTATACATTGCTTTTACTCATCATGTCCACAACAGCAGAGGAATTAGAAAATAAATGATGACCTTCTAACTCTGCACTGTGTTTAGTTTGTTGGTTTCATTTTCAACAT